GCTTGGTGCCAGGCGGGCAGCCACTTCCGCTGCTATTGTCGTCCTTGGGGATGCAACCTCCGTTGGGGCCAGGCTTGGTACCAGGTGGGCAGCCACTTCCATCATCACTGTCCTTGGGAATACAACCTCCATTCGGACCAGGCTTAGTACCAGGCGGGCAGCCACTTCCTCCGTCATCATCGTCGTTGGGGATGCAGTCGCCATTGACCGGACGATATCCTTCCTCACAGGCTGTGCAATGATTGGTATCAGGGATGCATCTGCCAGCTTTGTACTTGGTTCCCAATTCACAGCATCGAATAGTATCGAAGGAATCCTCAGTATTAAAATTGTAGTCCGTCAAGCTGTATTGTTTCGTTTCACTATCGAGAACCAGAGCCATAGGCAACTGTCCGCCGGTTGCATGAACCAAGACACTGGTTCCCGAAAGCCCTAAGAGGGCAATAAGTGAGGGATACATGAACCAGAAACTAGCCAAACAAATTAAAGAGGGGTCTAAGCAGAATTTCGAGAGGAATCAAGATACTGTACGATAGAATGATTAGGACAGTCGAAGTTATTCATCCAGAGACTGAGCTAACTTCAAAGTTGTCCTAGGTAGTACGGAGCATTAGCCTGATATTTGTAGCTTTAAATAAGTTGACAGGTAAGAGATTCGATTGTAGTGAATGATTAACGTTTATGCACTCTATGTCGTGGTAATGATGACAAGCATAATCTGAATGCAACGTTGCATTGTGTTCTGGGAAAGCCGGTAATCTAGAACAACCCTCCTAACAAAATTACCTTTGCCTCCCAGATGCCGCCATTATATCATTCAGCTGATGTAACATCAGATTCAAACCACAGTTATAGTGCTTAGTAGGCAGCTATAGTTCTATTGAACTACTTGACTGGGTCAAATAATAGACTGAGGACAGTGCTACTTATTTTCGTATACAAAAGTCAAATACGTATGACATATATAACCATACCATCTGCTGCATATCTATGATACGTACATGGCCTTGGGACCCAAGTCTACATGTCAATGATTAGAAGGTTCTTTATATTATCAGAAAATACATCGTCAAATACATCATAGACTTTTGAGAGCAATTCTAGAAATAGAATTGTTATATATATTCCAGTCTTGAGCTGTCTTCTCCAAGTACCTCAGTCTCTTTCCTTCTTACATGCATATTTACTACTGAATCTCTTGAAAAGGGTGTTATCATGACTTTAGCAAATCTCCTCTCTCTTCTACTTTGCCTCGCACTGGTAGAATATTCTACTGCAAATCTGGACTGTTTTTCTTCTGCTAGTGGTCTGGGCAGTACAAACTATAACAACTGTTGTTCAGATCAAACCAGCGGACATGCCGAAGTGAATGGAGTTCAGTTTGACTATTACTGTGGTTCCTGGTTTAGCCCCACAGATTCAACTCTGGAAGCTTCAAGCGCACGAGCCTGTGCTCAGCTTTGCTCCATTGACGATACATGTGCAGCCAGCACATGGCAAAGTGACCGTAACCGATGTCATCTCAGTCAGCTGTCTGATAAGATGGACAGCCACAAGTTGAAAATTCAGACCAGCCCGCAATATGGTACTGGATATATTGCTATCCGAGAGAATATACAAAGTGTTCCTCCGGCGAGCGCCTGTCAGACATGGATTAATGAGGCTATCACCAACGGAACCGACACGTGCACAAAGCAAATGGAACCGATCCAGAAGGCCAGAGATACATTCGAACGGGAGAACCAAATCTGCAATACAACACTCCGCCGAACCCAGGAAGAAAGAGATCAATTAGACGGGGACAACACAAAACGCGGACAAACTATCGACAAGCTGCAGAGAGAGAAGAAGACACTGGATGAAGACAACAAGCGTCTAAATGGAACTGTTCAATTTTACGAAACAATATTGCTATTGGAGGATAACAGCAAGCGTCCTAGTCACTGGAAAGAATGGAAGAGATGCCCGGAGGTTCATCATGAAGAAATTACGGTAGGCGGAGTCACCTACAAGCAGTACTGCAATCAGGGTGTCGCCGCTGCACTAAACGCATTCAGAGACTCAGTAGCCCTCTCTTTTGATGAGTGCGTGAAATCGTGCAGTGACCTTCCGTGGTGCCAGGGTATCAATTACTGGGTCTCTAGTAGCCGAACCCCCTGCGGCAGATTTGACAAATGGCGTGAACACCCTGGTAACCTTCGCTTCACAGACTATCTTATTGGAGCAATTCCATTGAAAGAAAAGCGACCTTAAAATCACATCACTGAAGTCACCGCAGATGCTGATTTGGTCAGCATTCAACATTAACATTGTTGGACACACCCTTAGTGTGCTAAACAAGCTGTTTCATTGTGCTATGTCTATAAAAAGAGATCAATCCTCTTCAGGATTATTAACCCTTCAAGTGGTCTGGTTTGATATTACTATAGTCATAAATTTAGCTGTTCCAGATAAACATCTAAGTAATAATGACAAGCTGTCAAGGCGCAGGCCGGCAAGGGGTAGTAGGACTTGCAGTTCTGACTGAAAGATCCCTTAATAGCAAATCTCTCTGGATTCTGCCTCTAGCTACTGGGTCAAGCTATCTACAGTTACAGACATGACATAGCTCGATGAGCTACGAACAGGATCAAAAGTCAGAAAGAACTTAAGCAGGTTCTGGGTTGCATACACAGCGGTCAACAGGGGCAGTAAGGTCAACAGGGTTAAGTGGGTAGAACTAAGGGCTGTGGGCCTGTACCATGACACAAGCATACTTTTAATATGAAATTGAATTATATTCTAAAATCTGGAAATATTAAAGAATGATCCTGATTTATGATGTAGAGGTTCGTTTCAAAAGTTCTACAACAGGAATAAATTAAGCGGGTTAACCCTACGAGCTTCCATATTTGTCTGAATATCCAACCAACACAGACATGACAGTGGCCAAGGAAGTACGAACTATGTCTTCACATCCAAAGATTTTTAAAGCTGTAGAGAATAAATTGTTATGATCATACATCTACTCTCCCGCCTCCCCCGCAGCGCAGACTACAATCTCATGAATCCATTCCGAATGAAGAGCCTCGTATGCTGTGATCCGGCGTTCAGGCTTTGGATCGAGCATGGCGTAGATGACATTGCAGCAGTGTTCCTGGCACTCTTTTAGCAAAGTAACCCTCCCTTTCTCAAGTCGGATCCGGAAACTTACACTGCCCAATTCCTCGATAGTAGGAAACCCTTCCACGTCCTCCCGGGTCCGCAAGTACCACTGGAAATTCCGATCCTCGTTGCCAGCAACCTTCCACAGAAGCATACCCAACCGCATTAACGCATACATCATCCCCACAGCCCAAACATCGCTGGCCCGGGGGTCATGCTCGCGACCCTGCAGCACCTCCGGCGCGGTGTAGGGAATCTGCTCCAGCGGGGATTGTGCTTTTGGCAACGGTTGCAAGTCCTTCGGCAACCACTCGGCGCTATCGAGATGCGCCACCTTCACCGCCCCCTGAACAGTGAGCAGCACATTCTCCGCCCGCAATCGTCTATGCACGATTCCCGCGTCATGGAGGCACGAGACCCCGCGCAGCAGCTGCTTGAAGAAGCAATCCGCTTCCACGGCGGAGAGCTTTCCTGTTCGCAGGAGGAGGGTCTGCAGACTGCCGCCGCCGCAGTACTCCATCACCGAATGCAGATCCCCTTTGTCATTGTAGCAGTGTTCTATGGTACGGATGATGTTGGGATGCTTGACGAACGAGGAGATCCCCATTGCTGCGCGACGGTATTCGTCTAGAAATCTTCCCGGGGATCGGTGGCGGACTTTGACGGCGTACAGTTGTTCTTTTCCCGAGTATTTCGGGAATTTCTTCGCGTACAATCCCACGAAGGTCGACGATCCGTAGTGCAGGATTTTGATGCATTTCCCATACCGGTGGGAGAATGGTTCAGGCTCATCATCTCCCCCAAAAGTCTCGGATCGTTGGATCACCGGGTCGCTCGAAGTTTGTCGAGAGGTGTGATGTGTGAATGTGTTGCACAGCTTCTCAAAGAGACCCGCGGGCTTCTCAGATTCGATGAGATGGCGATGGTTGCCATCCTCCAGAACCTCGATGTGGTGTGGTTTTCTTTCCCTGGTGGACATGGTGAAGGTTGACCGGTTAGTGGGAATGTTTGTGTGTGTGTACTGTAGATGTGCGTGTCGAGCTTGCTGTGATCCAAGCCTCTTTACCCCGATTAAGCGTGCCTTACATCTAGACGGACAGGAGAGTGTCGTTCGATCAACCCTTCGACCTGCAGTGAGGTGCTTGGTTGGAATAACCGCAAATGACGAAGCCGTTTACCCCGGGAAAGTGGAATCCGGTCATGTCAGCTGGAATCATGATGTGACGAGACCCGACCGGGCCCCGCACCCGCCCCGCCCCCGGATCACATGTCTACTGGGCGTGGCACGCTAAATCATCTGCCGGGCTAACCCAAACGGGCATAAAGTATGTACCCCTACCTTATAATGTAACCCTAATGTAACCCTTATCACAATCAATCAAACTGTGCAAACCCGAGTATTCCCAGTGAGTTCAACTGAAGCCTGAACTTGGAACCTTTTCTGCGGGCCCGTCCCCCTCCACCTCTTTTTCTGGAAGTTCGTATGAGTGCGTCATGTTCCAGTGACGCTTTCCCAGTTTCTGACAGGAGGGGATTGTCTGCCGCTTGAGACACGCCGATCGGAAGGCATCCCCGACGGAACGAAGCGTTTGCGACAGGAGATCAATCCGGAATCAATCCAAAGGATGCTTACAGGTACAATCTCTTTTCGAGTCCTAACCCATTGATATGCATACCCTTCAAGAACATTGGTGCAAAACATCAAAGGGATAGGGATGTAATAAAGCTAAGTCTGGCTAGCTTCCAACCTCCACCCTATCATAGGACGGTAGATCATGTCACCACTTAAGGTTGCTCTTTACCCAGAGTCTTGCCACTGCAAATATATCCAACTTCATTTGCGATGTCAAGTACTGAATACTATATTATATTTATAGGGATGGTACCTGATATTACCGGTCCTCATAAAAATCCTTAAGCACGAAATGTCGGTAGCCTTATGCCTCAGGCATCCGGACCGAAAGCCTCAGATCTCTTGGGCAAGGAAGAATAGCCTCGGACTCCACGATTGTTCCGGTCCGATAATCCCTTCGTCTATACAATATCCCAAGTCACTTCTGTGACAGATATATGTGTCTTATTGGTGTTGTTATTACCGAGGACACTCGGTTGCCCGCGAGGTGTGCATAGGTCCGAGGTCACGTGACCCTGATATCGTACAACTTCCTTGCGAATTTTCCCTACATGCGCCTCAGTAATACTCGATGCAGCACATTCAGAGCCTCACACTATTGTGTGTCCTTACAATTCTTGCCCCTGCATAATATCGAATTCTCCGTTTCAGCTGTAAGAGGAGGGAGTCCCTACCCCTGGCAGTCATCAATCAAGCTGCTCTCTGCTCTCCGTCATCATGAATCATCCAATCATCCAATATCCTCCTGGTACGCGACGGCCTATAGTTGCATTTGGCTCTTCAGGTAACATCTACCGCGATGAGACCAAGGAGACAGAAGTTCTCAATGAGTCCCCTCCGGCATGATTTGAGTAGATGCGATGGGGAAACTGCCACACATATGAGAGAGGAAGAGGCATTCTTTGCAGCATGCATTAACCGGGAGATGCTTATCTATGGTCTCCTCCCAAAACACGATAACATCCTTGACTGCCTCCCAATTACTGAGACCGGCATCCGCCTCCCATGCAACACGGGAACCTGCGCGAGTATATCCGCAGAAACCCAACACAACTGAACGACCAAGTTCGAGGAAGCTGGGTTCGAAATAGCGTCAGCGCAGTGGCATTTATTCACGAGCACTCCGTAATCCATGGCGAAATGAGCGCCCGCAACTTTCTCGTCGCAGACGATCTCTCGCTCAAACTGTGCGACTTTGTGGGTTCGGAAATTGGCAGCGACAAGCCTCCGCTGATCACCGAGGAAGACCGGTACCGGAAATCACCCAATTTACCGCGGTCAGTCCAGACAGACCTGTTTGCGCTGGGCTGTCTTATGTACGAGATTATGGTGGGGAAGCGGCCGTATAAAGAGGATGATCATGAGGATTGGGAGAATATTGCGGAAAAATATGAGCGTGGGGTGTTTTCTTGTCTTCGGGGGTTTAAAGTATGGCGATGTCATATATCGTTGCTGGACGGGCCAGTATCCGAGTGCGCAGCAGGATATGCTTGACGTTGAGGGTGCTGTATACGATGTTCATGAAGCGGTCAATGCAGAATTGTCTTTCCCCGACCACGACTACCAGGGACATGTTCTTCTGCCACTCGGCGTGTTGACAGCTTGTGTCGTTGCTGCTTACTTGCAGTGGAGACGCTAGTAGGTCGAGTCACTACGTGTTATCCCTTTACTCTGGCTTTAGGTCACGCAAAACATCTCTATACACCTCATTTGCGCGGCGTCTGTCACCCGGATCCTGGACTTTTATGCTTGAAGGGAGTAACTATGAAGAATAATGACATGTTCTGGCGAAGGTAAGTCTGAAGGGCCCTATGATCTGGGAGGAGATATAGTAGATTAAAACGGGCCAGGAGAGCGTGAGGCCGTGAATGTCGCTCGGGTTCATCAGACAGTGGGGGTCGTCGGCGTTGGTTCACCAGTAGCACCTTCCCTTCTGTAGTGAATCTCAAGCGCCTGCATTTTCACCGATTACTTCCAGACTCAGGCACCACAGCTCCTCTATCGCTGGTGGATGCCTGGATGTCGAGCCGCTATCCATCGAGCATCGTCAGGCCGTCGGGCCACGTAATAACTTGGCTACTCTTTCACAACTTTACTCTACACAGCAGCCATCGGGCTATCCCTTATCCTGTCTCAGGGAGGTAATCACTCAAGCGTTGCTCATGAATCCACTCCTCTTATTCTTACTCAGAGACCTCTAAGAGATCACTGGTCGCTGGACCTCAGCCAGAGACTTCCAACTGTTTGCTGGACTGGTAATATGAGGAAGACTCTTGCTGCTTGTAACAAATACTACAAACGAGACTAAATCTACCTCCTGTACCTGTGTGCCTACATCCAGCTGCTCGGCCGTACCATGTGGGACGTGATTACCGAGGCCCAGATAATGAGGTTCTGGCCGCAGTTTGTTCAGAACCACGAGGACGGCTCTACCTTCCCGGTGGATCCCATCCAGCTCTTTCTGGGGAATTGTGATGTGAGTCAAGTTACAGCTGCCCTGTCGCATCTTTTACGCAGTCCGCTGAGTGCATCTCATAACCCCAATACCGGAGACGCGTGGTGGCGACTGCCGGTGACCTACCTTACCACGCCCACGGATCATTCAATGCCTCGGGTCCACCAGGAATATTATGCTGAAGCATGTCAAGGAGGAGGATGGGTCAAAGATTAAAGTGGTGGAGGTGGACACGGCGCACAGTTTGTTTTTGTCTAGGCGCGACCAGGCGATGCGGGATGAGAGGAATCCTTGAGCTATCAGGCGTGGTGGATTCAGCTGCAGTATCTTAAGGGTTCATCCCTCTTGTTTGGACAGTATAGAACAACATAAATTCTCGAAATGGAGCTCTAAATCCCCCAGCCTCCAATACTACAGTGAAAACACCCAAGGATGCAAGCATCTGTGCTGGTATTTGCGGATTGGACATCAGCTCAACACAACCCAGACTTGCGACAGCTGATTCTCCCAAGTGCCCTGATATGCGTGCTGGAGTGATCCAAGTTCAAAGATAGAATGATTTTTGAACTTTTACGAATCGAGAATTAGCCCCGCATACTATCAAGTCATTGTAAGTCAAACCCATCGCTAAATGGAATGAGTAGGATCGCCGACATCCAGGGGATTGTATTCATCCGGATAGCCTCACAGGGTATCTTCATATCTCCACCGAGGATTCAGGTTTGATGAAAACCTTGGGCAACCCGTTATAGCTCACATCTCGCCGCGCCCAATAGAACCCCCCCCCCCCCCCCTTCCCATAGACCTCATCCACCCAAAGGTCTACAATACAATTGCCTAGAAGCTCTTTCCAGGGCAGTTTCATGCCCAGAGCCTTGGCCATCATATCGCAATGAACCAGCAGACGCCAACAATACGTGAGATAGCGAGCCAATTCATCTCGATTTGACGGGTGAATTGGATCCTCTGGCTCACTCAGTCGTCCCAGAGGCCCATAACCGGTTATTTCCATCACCTCCAATACCAGCTCCACCGGCAAACCTTTTCGATACAAAAGGTTCCGAACAAGGAGGGTGTCCGACTGACCGGGCTGATGCTGACCTTCTAGCCTTACACTCTCCAAGGTCAGAAGTTCGTCAATCGTCACTGTTCCGTAATGGTCCGCCTGACGATGTTAACACCCCGTTTTCAAGGGTTGGTTGGCCCAACGGAGCCAGTGTGTACTTCGGAACTTGGGGTTCACCTACGCGCCTTGAAATTGGTCGTCGCGGATTCCGAAAATTGACGATGCGGGTATGTGCTCACATCAGAGATATTTCCAGCGCCTGTGCATGTCCTCAAAGTAAACTGGTAGAACTTGCTATTGCGGTAGTCCTGTTTCTTGGTTCTTCCAGCAGCGTTGTTCCATAGTGCAGGAAAGCACCGAATCGTGTTCAAACAGATACCGGCTCGGAGGGCCTTGATGCAGACTTGGTCCCATCCGAGCACCTGGTTCTGCGCTTCTAGTCAGTACCCTGAGGCTCTTTTTCTGGGGCTATCAGACTCACTGCACATTGGCATTCCCCATCATGCCACCAGCCCTTAAGCCGCACCCCTGGAAGAGCACACACGCGTAGAATTGGGTTCATTTCACTGTACAAGAGTAGAGTTTTCACGACCTCGATGTTGAAAGACGCTTCCCGGTTCGCGCGGAAGAAGGCGTCACACTGCCTCGAGCCAGGGGGTCGAAGGAAGGCAGATGCTGTTCTCTCTTCGACCGGCAGGGGCTTGCACTGGCAATCTTGCTCGTGTTGATTCACCTTACATACCCCACTAGGGTATTCCCCACGGAAGCCATAACTCCGCCATCGGCGCACGGTTGAGGTGATTTGATGAACAATGACAGAAACGAGAATGACTTCTGTAGAGGCAGGTGGGTCGAATTCGGCGGGATAGTTCCTTCGTTCGCATAGTGAATGGTCGTCGATGTTCTGGATAAAGGCTTGAGTGAAGCAAGTGAGTTCTTTGTCCTGACTGGGTTTCATACGCGGGCGGAGATTTGTGACGAAATGGCCTTTATGCAAAAAGGTGCTCCAGTGAAGATTAGAGGCCAGCAGACTCCAGGGGATGTTGTGTGCTTGATGCGCCATTTTACCCAGACTAGGTAGTGTACTAAGCACTGCAACAGAATCTCACGGGCGTAAGTCCATCTCTCTGTGAGATCAACCGCATTTGATGTGCGTGACTTAACCTAGCCTTATGCGCTGATTGTCTACTGGAGCATCGAATGACCCCGGAGTCACCATGGATGTAACGAGGGCTGACAGGTGACTTACGTGGCCGGGGAAGCGAAAGGATAACCTCTGGTTCCCAGGCGGTGGGTACTAACTTGTATGGGAGTCAATCAACTTAAATAGTTGACTACCTTAGTAATTTGTCAAGCGCTGGTTTGCAACTCTAGGAGGGCCTGATCACGGGCGATAGACGATGGTTGGCTACTTTAGAAGATAGCTTCTGAGCTCTGATTAACTACTGCGCGTGACAGCAAATGTGACTTCTAGAATTAGATAGCTGATAGCTATTCATTACCTAATATAGAGTAGAAAAATTAGGACTCTGTCTTTTCTCTGGAATCTCTATTATAGATCTAGATAGTAATCTATAACTTAGTTACTAGATCTAAGAATATCTACTCCCTTTCTAGTATTACTTTCCTAAACCAGATAATCTAAGCGGTCTGGTAGTTAATGTACTGTAATGGAACCCCTATGTAGCTGCCCAAAGGGGTTAGTGCGCTTGGGAACGCCTTTGGTTGAAGGAGGCACCCGCAGACACGGGCCCCGTAACTCCCCGTAACTACTGACATCCCCCTTCTCGTGAGCTCCAAATGTTCCGTTCCCTTTCTTTCGATAGCAAGACCTGACGCCTCAATGCATTCCTAAAGCGACAAAATGCTCCAGAAAGTATGGTCTTTCTTAAATCAGTCTTCTGTGTCCTTTCAAGTCCTCTCTGATCTCCACTTGAGATCAACCGGCAGTATCCATCTTACGAAATCCCAGTTTGTGCAGAATATCTAATCCTTGCGGGTGATATTGGGCGCTTAATAGACTATAATGACTATCGCAATTATTCTTGTTGTGACACACTACGCTTCTTTACTTCAGACGACCTCGAGCCCGCAACACGCCCAGAACCCTTGGAGTGTTGCCTTTGGGACTGATATCCTATCACAAACACCAGAGGGGGTGAAAGTCTGGGTGTTTGGGCACACACATCGAAACACTGATTTCAAGGAGGGAGGGGTAAGAGTGGTGAGCAACCAGCGGGGATAGTGCTGCCTTGGAACGATTCGGAGACGTAGGATAGAATTGACGTGAGAAAGGTTATACGTATATAAATATTTACATGTACTTCTCAATCTCTAGCCTATGGTCATATTCGCAGAGTCTCGCTAATCCAAAACTATCAAAACAGGGTTCTTAGGACGGGTATTCCGAGTATAGAGGAGATCACCAAGTAATCATTACAATACATCAGATCAGGCATCGCATCCTACTATCTTATGATTAACATACTACTACTACGTCTTAATATCTACTACCCAGCGATAGAACTATCATATCATGATTTTCAAATACTATGCTACACATAAATATCATATAGTTCTCTGTGACGAATGCAAGGATTCTCTTCCTCACATCTATCAACGCCTTTCTTCTGGAGCTCAGAGATCACATTAGTACACTGTAACTTGTGATGCTGTAAGGCCGGTGAAGGAGGTACCAAAAAAAGGATGCAAGAATTTATGTCTGTATAACATTAATAATGGAAACAATTATAACAACAGGTGCTGTGGTCTAGTGGTATGACGTCACGTTGTGGCCGTGCCAGCCCCGGTTCGATTCCGGGCAGCGCCACTTTCTTTTTTTGTTTTCCTTCACTCCGTACTATTGAGCATATTCAACTATGTGAAAAACTACGAAAAGGATAAATCAATTCTGATTCTCGTTAGAATTTTGAAAACTTACCAACCCTGCAAAAGGCAGGTGGCGACGACCATCATCTTCCTCCATCCCCCTTCTACTCCTCCTCTTCGTCCTTCGCCTCCTCCTTCTTATCCCAGACCTCACCACTGTCGACATCAACGTCATCACTGGAATCATCAAGGTAACAGTCCTCTTCCTCCTCGTCCTCTAGGACATCATCCTCGTAGTCGGCTTCAGTGACAATGATACCATCGTCATCATAATCGTCAGCAGGGGGGAGATTCATGATAAACTCATTCAGGATGGAGACGTCCCTTGGGCGCCTGAATCTAGTCCTTCCATTGATATCGAGGCGGTAGAGCCCGTTGCTATAATGGTCAGTATCCTCAGCCTCCTGGGGGGTAGTCACCTCCCGGTAGAGCTGATGCCAGTCACCGCAACGAATCATTCCGTGAAAGGGCGATGCAATGGGGAAGGTGACGCGCCGGTCCTCCCAGATCTCCGCGAGGATTCGCTCAAGAGTATCCCAGTACCGGCGTGGGCTATGCATCATTTCCTCTTCTAGGGTGATCCAGTAAAGCACAGTGCCACACGCGAAGTGCGTGCGGCCTCGTCTGTAGCTGATCATCTTGAGCTGTTCCGGTCAGTGGCCGATGGGGCTGCCTGTCATGAGAACATCTTGCCATGGAAGCCGTTGGTCTGTATTTATACCCTTTCCCGACCAGCATAGATTATCTCTTGAGACAAAGGAGATTTCTGGCGGGGTGCCATTGCTACCCATGGTTCATAGGGGGAGATCTCCAATGTCATTGCAACATCAAAGGAGACGGGTGAGATTTACCTCCAGACTGCGAGGACAACACAAGCAATCCCAGCAAGGACGATGCAGACATCAAGGAGTCACGTTTGTTCGTGCAGAAAGAAATCGACTTGGTGCACTACTTCTCCAAACCCCTCTTCAACATAACGCCATTGCCCCGCGTATTGCGTGACGAAAGTAGGGGCTTAGCAACAATAACAATACAGTCCGCAGCACGTTGAGGCATCCAGCAACGGGATCCGCATGTCATCAACACCTGGGCTGTTTGCGTGACAGAGGTTAGCGAATGGCCGATCTGGAGAGAGACATGGGGATTGATAAGGCTGGTATGATCTACAGGTCAATCCCCGCCGAGCACGCCTTAACCCCTCGTTTGAACACAATGGGATGATGATATCTATAGCTGCATTTCAGTTCCCCGCACCCTCCCAAGCGGCGTGACTGTGAGTCGATAGCGGCATGAAATCCGCGGCGCACATTCGGTCATATAAATCTCCAGCGGCACTGGTCTCGATCACTCATAGCAGCAACCATTCAAATCTTTACAATGAGCTCTCCCAACCAGCGCCGATGGTATCAAATACGATGGTTCTCGGATGACGATAGCTCCGAGGATCGGAAATTGATTGTCAAGCTGGACGCCTTGATAGTCCCGTATGCGTTTCTTTCTTACTGGACCAAATATATCGATCAAGCCAACCTGAGTCAGTACCAGCCATAAGTCAGATAGGTCACCGAACTGACCCTCAGAGTCTCCGTTCAGACAATGCCTATGTGTCGGGAATGCAAGAAGAGATCGGTCTCGGCGGGGATGACTTGGTCAACCTCCAGACAATGTACACGGTTGGCGCGGTGGTTGGCCAGCTTCCTTTTGCCTATCTCTTCACACGAGTGCCCATTTCGTGGCTGATCCCCACCATGGATATTGCTTGGGGCATCTTCACTCTCCTCCAATATCGGGCCACCTCGTATAGCGAGATGATGGCCTATCGGTTCCTGGTAGGCTGGTTTGAGGTAGGGTTCATTCTGTCCTCCCTCAGCCATGGTCCGCATCTCACCACCTTCCGACTCGATAGGCCGCATTCTTTCCTGGCATGCACTACATCTTCGGGGCATGGTATCGGGGAGACGAGATTGCCCGCCGCGGGGGCTGTTTCTATGTGGGACTGACGCTGGGGACGCTCACAGCCAGCCTCATCCAAGCCGGGGCATCTTCGCGCTTGGATGGAGTGTCCGGTCTGGCCGGCTGGCGATGGATGTTTATTATCTGCGGCATCATCACGATTCCCATTGGGATCCTAGGATTTTTTGTACTGCCCGGAACCCCGGACAAACCCAACCAACTGATCCTCCGAACGGAGGACATTCAACGAGGACGTACACGGCTCGAGCGCGCTGGCCATCGCTTCACATCCTCCGGTGGGGTTTCCATTCTCCAGACCATTCGAAGCCTGCTCCAGAACCAGCGATTCTACATCTTCCTCGTCTTGGACGTTCTTTTCTGGAATGCCGGTCTTCACGCCTCCGCCGGGGGGTATCTCCTCTGGCTGAAATCTCTCCATCGGTTCAGCACGGCAACCCTTAACAACCTGTCTGCGATTGCCCCGGCGCTGGGTATCTTCTACACTTTGTTGGTCTGCTTCTTATCCGATCTCTGTCTGGGTCCGGCCTGGGCGATCGTGCTGGCCCATACCTGGAACAGCCTGGGACTGATCATCCTGACGATCTGGGAGGTGCCCGAGTCCGCCAAGTGGTTCGCTTTCTCGACCATCTATGCCTGTGTGGCCATGTCCAGTGTGCTCTACGGCTGGGTCAACACGGAGTTACGATATTCACCGCAGGAACGGGCGGTGGTGCTGGTGGTGATCAATGCGGTCTCTCAATCCACGACAGCTTGGACACCACTCCTGGTCTTCCCGACCGTCGAGGGCCCTCGCTTTACCAAGGGCTATGCATTCACGCTGGGGTCTGCTTTGGCATTGATTGGGGCCACTATTGGGGTGTGGGCTGCATTTCGGGGCAAGAAGTCTGTGCCTGGGGGAGGAGTGGAAAGTGGTGGGGAGGAGGAGGAAGTGGTGGTGATACCGGGCAAGAGGGATAAGGGCAGTGATGCAGGGCTATAGGGCATGCATATAGCAGTGGCTGTGGCTGTAATTAGGATGAACACACACACACACACACACACACAGAGTAATTATGACAATAAGGGAAAAAAGAAAAAAGGAATGGGGCAAGCCGGGCTTGAACCGGCCACCTCCAGATCTTCAGTCTGACGCGCTCCCAGATGCGCCATTGCCCCAGGTATTATGTCAGCCACCTATTTTTAATTTTCATGATCCTAAGATAGTCGTCAAATCAAAAGCAAACTACTTCGTACTCTCCATAAACTCAGGTGAATCCATCAGACATACTTGTATTATGACTCACCAGGGAATTCTATTTCCGTAACACAAACAACTACAAGGGAAGATATTCGTGGACTCTCTGCCATGTATCCCGCACCCAATCTCGCTTATTTCGAGTAAACCGCATCCCCGTCACTTCATTCCTAGATGCAGGGTCCATCACCTCATCTTGCATGGTGTTGGGTGGTGAGTCATCATCCTGGCGCACCGGATGGATCGGTCCAATACGTGCCTCTTCCGGAATGTCTGTGAGCCCCAGTCGTGCATCATGTCTTGATAAGACAGCAGAGAGGGTATGGGTATTTTCCGCAGCCACGATCTCGCCATGCATGCTATCTGCGGAAGAACAATCCCAAGCTTGTGCGATAGATACGTCATAACCGATTGTTGGTCGCAAAGCCATAGCGTTCCCCTCCTCCAGCATGATGATATTTTCCGCAAAGCTGACAGCCGCGGTGGACCGGTAGAAGCCCATGACGGGAGGCGCCCGACGCAGCAACTCGACAGCCGCACGGCGGAGATGCGGCTCGCGGCATCGTAGGCTTGTGAACCAGAGGGGCAGGCCCACCCCGAGATCGAAGGTGAAGGGGGGCTGCGTGCCGTCGGGTCGTCTGGAGGTGTCAAGAGCAAGACGGCATTGGTCGACAATGACTTGGAACCCTTCAAGGCAGTGGTCGGCCATGGTCTGTAAGGAAGATACGCAGATCGTCACAAGAATCAGGGTGGTCTTGTGGTAAGCGATGAGCAGAGCGCTCTTGACCATTTGGTGCTGGGTTAATGGGTTTTTCTGATGGAGCGCATCTAGGTGTTTCTTGAAACCGGTTTCCCACCTGTCCAGTCTGTCCCAAAATCTCGCTTGCATGTTGATCAGCTCTGGTGTGACATGAAAGCGGTCTGATTGCGATAATTGATCCAGGCACTGGCGTTCGAAGAGAAGAGCTTCCGCACCCAGAATGGTGAGAGCTTCGCGAGCGCACCTCAGAGATGGAAATTCAACTGACGGGACGTGGGCAGCAGCTTCTAAGAGACTGTCCATCCGAGGCGCGGTGTCACTGAAAGCGAGGACCCCGAGACGAACGAAGATAGGAACAATTGCATTCTCAAGCACAACTGCTTTGCTGGCTGGAACCATTCCGGAAGCGATTTGGACGCGCAATGCTTGTACGAGCTGCAACCCCTGGCTGAAGAGCTGCAAGGCTGCCTTCTCTCGTCCTTGGAGAGTTTCGACGCAAATGAACAGCACACAAGTGATCAGTCCGACGAAGATGTCAACCTGCCCGCGCGCAATCCGCTGGCGAATGGCAGTCACGGAGCGCGAGTACCAGGCCAAGGCATCACCGTGCGGTTGATCGATTAGTTGTACCGAGACAGGACTGGCAGGGTGTTCATAAGTCTCAAAGAGGGCACTGATGGCGATGATGGCATCCCATACGGCCGGTTCCCCCTGACACAATTGCGGCACAAACGTGCCCCAGAAGTCGACATCCAGATCCCCCCCGACGAAAAGAGCCACGCGTTCATGATAGTAGGCAAAAGCACGACGCTCGCCCCAGACGGTATTGGGAGCATTTGCGAGGGGATTGTCCAGGGCTGTTGAGGAGAGCGGCGAAGCAGAGGAAAATGTGCCGGCAACTGCCTGGGCGTACTCGCACTTGCGGCCGGTGCTGCTGCAACGAACACAGTTGGGCTTTTCTTGCCCACACTTGACTCGTCGAATTCTAGTAAACGCTTTAATTGGGGATTTGTGGCAGGCAATGGGAGGAATGTAAGCCCCACTTGCAAGTTTTGCATCCCAGTCTGGATCTCAGGGGCAGGCCGCCACTTTCCTCCCCGCTACTCCCCGAGGCTGATCTGGGAGACATGTCAACAAGACAACCATATGAGGGTGATGCTCTGTGCGCCACGGTGAGGAGTAAAATCAAATCAAATAACACATCATGGCTGCAGATAAGGGGCTGAGGCAGATGCGTCAGCACATCACATGAGTCGGCTTGGCAACTATGCCTCTATAGGCAGCCAACTATAACGGGGTGACTGGATTTTATAGAGCTCATTGAGCGCAGAAGAACTTCCTAAATAAAACACTACGACTCCTCACAGCTCGCTCTATACAGTCCACTGTCCTGTAGCTTCACCTTCAGCCTCAGGCCGAGTGCCAGGACGGGCTGTAAGCGAGATCTTATCAGATCCATAGTAGTCATTCCTAACCAGGCAATTCAGTCCGAATAGCCTCCTACCCCCATCGCGCTCTCGCTAGACCCGACCATTGGCAGGCAGTTCGTATAGCTTACGAGTCTCCTTCCATGAAACTGGAAGAAGAGTGTCACGTGGGGACATCAACCGACCCAGCTTTTCTAATTGCAGATAAGCTCACCCCCCTAGTCTGGTGCTCTTAGCGAGACTATTGCATAGACCCTCAGAACTGCTCCACAAATGGATCCTGGCAGAATGATGCTTACCCACTCTATTGAGATTCCCAGCTCATGTCAAACCGAACGGGAACGCGCTGGACCACACTGCCCAAGTTCCAACATCCTTCTCGTGTTCAGCACCTAGGGATGTAAAGTCACGACCTTCGTCTGTACAAACTCCTCCAATCCCCATCGAGCCCCGAAACGACTTCATCCGCTGTCTTCGTAACCATCATGGGACAGACTGGGCTCATCGTGTACCGTCATCGAATTAATGTGCACCGCCCCAGCCTTGAGAGATCCAGCAAGTTCAAGCGCACGGTAGTGATTTTGAGAGATGATCGAACTAGGTAATCCATACTTGGCTTCCCGATTGACAGCGACAATCTATCTCATCTTCAATTCTGAGCCTGAAAATTCCAACCATTGACCGAAAGACTCAACGCATCCACGTAAAGCAAAGAATTCTACCTTCAAAATTGCAACATTGCAGGCTGCTATGGGAGCCACTACCGACCAAGCCCTAGAATGATTGACGTATTCCAGGGGGTCATCTCAAGAACAACCTTCAAGGGCTCTTACCACACCATCCCATAGCCCTGCTGAACGTACGGAAGGGATCCGGTGGCCACGCTGGTCGTGAGCGCGGCGTACTCCTCAATGAGCCCGATACTGTCATTCGTGATAATACCTGCCCACAATTGCCCGCAGTGAATCTCCTGACAACACATTGCTTTGATCTCCTCGGCTCCTGCCCTCAGATTCTCGGTCGGTTTGAAGAGCTGGGGAAGTTGGTGTAGGGAGAAGTAGATCTGCGGAGAACCGGAATTACGGATCGAGATTTGGTGAAGCCGATTCTGCAATTGAAAAGCACTGCCAAGTGCAGTCTAGATTTGCCACTAGCCCTGGATGGCCGGATTGTGTGGCGAGGCCGAGGTGGATCCGGCGCTCAGCCCCTGAAGCTCTCCTGTATGTATCTGGGGTAAAATCAAGCGACGGCTACGATGGATAAAAGTGTCTGAAGCCCCATGGATGGATTGATTTCCTCCTAGTCAACATCGGCATTGTCATTCCTTCCTTTTTTTTCCCTCCATGCCACCACCATGACTTTCCCACACTCGTTGCTCCTGGTGGAGATACTAGCCATAATAATAGGGCTTGTTGGGGCCCAATCCAGCGCCTTCACCGCCTCGGATGACTCAGATTTATGGCAGTATCGGACGGTGAGTTTGTCCGAGTTTCCGATGGTGCGCGAGGAGCAGCCGTGCTGACTCATCTTGCCTTGCAGCTCCCTCAACATCGCATCCCCAAATGGAACATCACTCATTATCATCGCGATGCCACCGCGCCAGGTTACTGGTTTGTCGCTCCCTACTGGGTCACCGTCGGGGAACCCTACACCACCCGATGGATGCCCTATCAGGTGGGTCCCTATATTTATGATCAAGACGGCGAGTTGGTGTGGACAGGCGCCGAGTACACCGACAACCAGAACGCCTTCGACCTGCGCGTCGTCACCAATGTCCCCGGCCGACCTCAACTCTCCCTGATGGTCCAGACCGGACTGGGAGTGGACCTAGAACATGCCAATGGCACTGTGCTGGACTACCAGTACCGCGAGCTAGCCAGCACCCCCGTGTACGACAAGCACGAGTTCTACGTCTACGCCCCGCACAAAGCGCTCGCCATCCACCAGTGGCCCAAGGTCGTCGACCTGGCCGAGATCGGCCTCCCTGGCGTCTCTCGCGAGATCAAGTTCCAGGGCTTCCGCGATGTCGATTACAAGACCGGCCATGTGTTCTTCGAATGGAACTCCGAGGGCCGGATTCCCCTCCACGAGACCTTTGTCGACATCACCGTCGGCACACCCCTCAACGGCCAAGATTACATCCACTGCAACGCGATCGAAAAGACCAAACATGGCGACTACCTGATGTCGTGTCGCCACTCGAGCACAATCTACTTGATCTCCGGGCAGGACGGGGCCATCCTCTGGCGACTGGGCGGGAAGGGGAACAATTTTCAGAAAGACTTTGACTTTTCGTGGCAGCATGACGCGCGCATTATCCTCCATACCGAGGGGCGTCTGGTGATCTCCTTCCTGGACAATGCGGCGGATGAGCTGACCAACGACAAGCCCGTCTCCTCGGCCATGATCGTGGAACTGGACTTGGTCAAGTACCAGGCGAAGCTGCTGAACCAGTACTTCCGGCCGGATGGCAATCTGACGCGGCGACGGGGCAGCACGCAGCTCCTCCCCAACAACAATGTGTTCGTCTCCTGGAGTGACTACGGGTATATCAGCGAGTTCGACCACGATGGCCGTCTTTTGACCGCCGCCCGCTTCGCCAGCGACCGGTTCGGCAATTACCGCGCCTACAAATTCCCCTGGTCGGCCCAGCCGGCCGAACCCCCCGTGGTAGTTGCGGCTGTCGTGGGGATCAACGGCTCCGAGCTCGTGACGGAACTGTACGCGAGTTGGAACGGAGCGACGGAAGTCAAGTTCTGGCGGTTCTGGGCGCGAGCAGCCGCGGACGCGGACAAGGTTCCCATTGGCATCGTCCCCCAAACCGGCTTCGAGACAAGCTTCATCGCTCGAGGCTACATGGACTGGGTATCGGCCGAGGCCCTCGACGCCGACCAGCATAGTCTGGGAATCTCCGGGGTCGTGCGCAGCAGTCCGCCCAGCTACTGGGCTCCCGGAGCCGACCGGCCCCAGCCCGATGATCCCCAGCTTCTGCTCTTCCCTCCCCCGCCAGAGAAGCCAAGCTGGTCCCCCAGCTCGATCGTGGTGGTTCTTGCCGCAGGGCTGGGGCTCAGTACATTGTGCTGGCTGTTACTTGCACTCTTCTCTGGTGTTCGACGTGTTCGACATCGCGTGCTTGCTGGATATACCAAAGTGCATTCAATAGACTAATACTATACAAAGGATTTCGCATCGGTTCCGATCGATTAATTAATACACAAGAAGAAAATTATAGATGGGATGAGCAAGCATCAGCACCTTCTGGATCATGCTCACGGAGAGACCAGAGTCAAAAAGTCCTGGGTCAAATCGGTGAAGAAACTGGCCCCGGCCACCGTCTCGGGGTGACCGGCTTCCGTGACATTGCAGTAATCAATGAAATTGCCTGCCTCGGCATTCTTCTTCTTGATATAGGTGACGTACTCGGACAGCAGACAGCTGCTGCCGGGGCCGTCCTTGCACATGGGGAGCGGGTAGACGGCATCGTTGAGCAGGATGCGCAGGTAGGTCTCCTCGGTGGTCTTCTTGTTCGTGGTCGTCTCGCAGTTGAGCACCTCGAAGGCGACGGTTCCGCGCATGGTGATGAAGTGAGCGACGTTGTAGAGGTGGTTGGCGGGGATCTTGTCGTCGGGCAGCGATTCCTGGTCCTTGAACAGATCCATGCCGGCGGTCAATTCGGCGATCTGGTTGTCATTCAAGAAGGCCATGATGAGCTTCGGGACTGTAAAGGGGGTGCCATCCACATTCGTGCCGTTCTGGTCCGGGCCCTGGGCCAACAGATCCAGGAAGCTCTCGAGGAAAGGCAGGAAGAGCAGCTTAGTGGGATCCGAGGACCCAGGACCGACGCCGTACCAGTAGCTCAGATCCTGGGAGTAGGCATACTTGGTCAACTCGTCCTGGGTGAACACATTGCACCAGTCGCTCAACCGACCCTTGATCTGACTCTCATAGGCACAGAGGTAGGGGAAGAAGGTCAGGTCGGTCTCCGTGAAGGTCAGGTTGCCGCTGACCAGCGCGTTGATGCGCTTGATCGCGGCGGGCATCCACGTAGCATCCCCTGCTCCTCCGTCAGTCCCAGGTTGGCCTGGTGCGCGGGCCCAGAAATTCAAATCACGTACAGTTGGTCACGTTGTTATACGCATCGTTGACATACAGCGGACACGCATCGGAGGGCCCGAGGGAGTTGCCAATCGCATTGACCGAGCCCGTCGAGTTGACGCTGACGACTGTGCCGTAGGTGTCGGCGAACTCGTACATGTAGCCCAGCAGAAACGCCTGCGCGGTTTGAACCACACGCGAGGTGCTGATGGGGTAGGCGTACTGGTTAGCCCACACGTAGAAGGGCTGGCCATCTTCGTAGAAGTCGGGGTCTGCTGTGGTTAGCCCTGACTGCTCGAGGCGCATTCTGTTGCCTGAGGTCACTTACAGCGCGCGCGGAGGGTATAGCCCAGGTCAACGGCCTGGATCGATCAGTTATGGATCCTCTCCCTGTCACCCCATGTCAATGCTGCCACTGGATTCGACGCACCTCCTTGCGACCGGTCATGGACTCCTGAGACATCTGCAGCGTGGTGTTTGTGAGAACCGTCTTCCAGTCGGCGATGAAGGAGAGGGCGCCGCGGGCCTCGAAGCCCTCGCTCTGGACGGCCGCTTGGATCTTCTCCTCGAGAGCCACCCAGGAGCTGTAGGAACCGCTATCGGGGAATCTGTCTGCGATCAGCGACTGCGGTTCGCCTGGTCACCAGGTCTTTTGATTGTTCCTCTTACCGGCTTCCATGTCTCACGATGTAGGCAGCCTGCTGAACGGTGCACTGCTCGGGCACCTCGTTGGCGATGCCATTGACATTGGGGCCTTGACCGAGATCAGCCACTACCTTCCTGGCAGGCACGCATAATACCCACCGGTAAAATAAGGCGTGTTGCCCCCGGAATAGATCAAAGGATTGGACGAGTGAGCGGTCGAGGGAAAGAGAATATCCTGCGCGGGCGACAGAACGGGCCCTGCGTTGGCAACGCCAACGCCCAGGAGAGCAGTAAGAGCAGCGAGTGTGGTGGCCATGGCGAGGCAAGCAAGCAAGTAAACAGAGAGAGTGAATGGGTTGACAACAACAACTATTACTACTTCTTGCACTCCCAGCGAGGGCTGCAGACGCAATTATATAACCTTATACCGGGGTATGATGGCATGCGACAATGCATGGCTCGACTAAGTCTCTACTAACTTGCCTATGACAGGGCCGGGGGAGGCCATGTGCTGCACACTAAAGGAGGGCTCATTTTATTTTCCAGGTTCTCCCTCCAGAATGGCTTCGTTATCCTCCCACGTGCTCTTATCGCTGCTCCACTGGCTTAATTTATCTGGACGCGAACTATTCCTCAATAGTAGTTCGTGTCCGGCGGCTTGGCCTCCACGCCCGGAATATTCATTAATTATTAATTATTTTCTTAGGGTTTGCACAGAATCATTGACCACGTGGGTCGTACGATCCCATTGCGATAGCAAATTCTATCTACATAACGATCCCAGCAAATAGACTCATCACCGCCAGAATCAAGCCGGAAGAGTGTGCATTCGACGAGGCAGCGCCAGTAAAGAGCGCCCCCGCCCCCGTAGCCGTCAACGACCCCAGGGGCGTCGGGGCCGAAGGGGTGGAACCCAACGAGGAAGCCCTCACGGATGAAATCAAGGAGCTGGGCAGACTCTGCGACTGTGCGCTTGAAGAAACTTGCGCGCCGGTGCTTCCCCCCAGGGCGTTCGCGCCTCCCTTAGTGGTAGCGGCGGCAGCACCAATAGCATCGACACCATCGGGGTTGGTAGCAGCCGTTTCTACCGCATTCAACGTGGAGGTAGTAGACTCCGCGGACCCAAGAATCGAGTAGACGGTGGTGCCAACGGGAATCACGGTGGTGCCAATGGGAATCACGGTGGTGTAGACGGAAGCTGTCTCCTGAGGAGCATTCTCGTCGGTCGATCCTGCTGGTGCCGCCATCACCGTATAAACGGCAGTTGTATAGATGGTGGAGGTGGAATATATCTCCTCAACAGCCGGGACAGCGGTTGCATGCGGCCCGGTCGTCACCACAGAGTAAGTCGTCACATACGCAGGCACAACCTCACTGGTCACAAAGGTCGACTGGGCCGAGGCAGCGCAATTCTGCACGCCCGAGGGACAGGCGGTCACCGTGTAAGTTGCTGTACTATACACCGTCGAGGTGACATGCTCGGTATACCGAGAGACTGACCCAGCAGGGGCCGTGGCTGCCACGCCCGTCTGAGTGGCTGTGACGGGGCAGATAGTGGTGTAGTCCACGAGTGTCTCCGTCGTGAGGTAGGTCGTTTGCTGCGAGGCGGGACAATTCTGGACGGAGGAAGGGCAAGCCGTTACGGTATACGTCGAGGTCTTGTACACGGTGGAGGTTGTGTATTCTTCGTTTTCTGCCGCAGCAGACGCAGGGCTGGCGGTCACAGGCAGCTGAGTCTGAGTCGCAGTAACCGGGCAGATGGTGGTGTAGTCCACGACGGTCTCGGTGGTCACGTAAGTAGTCTTCGCCGAAGCAGGGCAGTTCTGGACTGTGGGGGGGCATGCGGTGACGGTGTGCACCTCGATGTGAGAAACAGTGGAGGTGGTGAAAGCCCCAGCTCCGTTCGCGGAGACGCTGGAACTGGTCGAACTGGGAGAGATCGATGTCGAGTCAGAACCTGAACCTGAACCAGAGCCTGAGCCTGAGCCTGAGCCTGAGCCTGAGCCTGAACCTGAACCTGAACCAGAGCCAGAGCTAGAGTCGGAGCTAGAGCCAGAGCTAGAGCCAGAGCCAGAGCTAGAGCCAGAGCCAGAGC